CAAAATAACCTTTTAAAGTGACAGCATTGTCACAAGATCTTTAAGGAAGGTCTACTGCAAGAAATAAAGTGTGCTGAATGAGTTCAGTGAATGGTGGGAGAAGGTGCATTTTTCTTCTGCTTTTTTTTTTAATAAAAGCTCACTGGTGTTACGAAACTGCTATTACAGATGGTCTTTAAATTGCTGCAAATTAGAAAACTGTACCTTTTTTTAAAGGAAGTGACAACACTTAGATGTACTTGAAAAACATCAGGAATAAGTAAAAGTCATAGACAACATAAACTAAAAAAAAGTAAATCAAAGCAGAATAAAGTTAACATAAAAGAAGCAGAGTGATGACACAGCAGTGCAGTTCTGTCAAGTGGAATGTGTGGCCTGTAGGAATTCATGTATCCTACCAGTGTCCTAGGTGACATGTTCAGGAAATGCTGTCTATCATAGAAACTTGAGCTCTGGGTTTCAGAGTTTGAGTCGTGGCTGGAGTCACTGTTGTGTATCTACAATACTGACAGTTATGTAGATAACACTTTCAGAGAGCTGGTCACACCACAACCTAAGGGACTAGAGGCAGCATGAGTGACTGCCAGACATACCAAGAGAAACAAGAAGTAATACAGTGGTCCACTGGGGTCCCACTCACAAAGCAGCTTTCATTTTGGAAGCTGACAACGGCATTGGTTTCTCAAGGGAGTGCAGTCAAAGCCACATTTGTGGCACCAGGAGCAGTGTGGCTGTATTAGGGGAGGAACAGCAACAGTCCTAGGAGATTCATTAGTTAGGGGAACAGACAGATGTTTGTTTGACCATAGATATAACTCCAGAATGGCATGTTGCCTGGTCAGTCAAGGATGTCACGGAGCAGATGTAGGACATTTTGCTGGGTTAAGATAAACAGCCAGAAGTCACCGGTCTACATTGGTACCAGTGACTTGGGTAGGAAGATGTGGCCCTGCAGTCAGAATTTAGGAAGCTAGGTAGAAAATTAGAACGGAGAAGCTCAAATGTAGTAATCTCTAGGTAATTCCCACTGCCATGTCTGAGTGAGTACAGAAACTGGAAGATAAAGCAGATGAATGCAAGCCTTAAAAGGTTGTGCAGAAGACTAAGCTCAAATCTCCTGGGACACTGGCAATGATTTTGGGGAATATTGTGGCTGTACAAGCTGGATGGGTAGGACCTGACCAGAACTGGGACTAAGTTCTGAACAGGGCTTTTTGCTAATATGATTGGAAGGGCTTTAAGCCAACTTGGCAAGAATGTGGGAATCAAGAAAGAATATTAGAAACTAAAGTTTGGGTGCATAAAATACTTTGGATAGACGGACAGCAATAGCATCAACAGTAGCAAGTTAATAATGACAGAGTAGGTAGAAACCTAAGAAGTGTAAAGCAGCAATGTGCAGATATGTGAATGCATGAAGTATATTTAATAAGACTGGGGAGTTACAGATGCAGATTGCCAGTGGAAATATGATAGTTCTGTGGCAATAAGAAAGACATGGGTTAAGGATGAGCAGGACTAGGTGTTTAAAAATTCCTGGGTACAAGGTTTTCAAAAAAAGATAGGAAATGAATGAGGAGGAGGAGGGATGGCAGTATTGGTTAAGGAAAGCATTGCAGTGCTGCACGAAGAGGATGTCCCTGGGGATTCAAGGACAGAACCAAATTGACTAGAGCTTTTACATTGCTTGGTGTGGTCTATATATCACCAACTAATGGAAGGATGTAGAGGAACAAATCTGCAGGGAAATTAAAGAGATGCCATCATTTTAGTATAGGTGTAATGGGCAGCACTTGCTCAGCTGCTCACGGACGCCATGCTGAATTCCAGCAGGGTCAATAACTCCTGACCTCATTACAGCCTTGGTTTAAACATGAACAAGAGAGATCTCTAGAGGGGTGCTGAGAGTGACTGCCCTTATGATTGACGATGCTGCACTCTGTCGAAGGCAGCGAAGAGTTTGAGCAAAATTGAAGTCAATGGGATTCCAGCATTTGTACGAAGAAAGTTGTGACTGTTACTGGCCAATTGCCTCAGCCTTAGGACATTTTTGCTCAAATTTATCTTTAGTTGCTTCATTAATGATCTTTCATTCAATAAAAGGTCAGAAGTGGAAATGTTGCATTTATTGGCAATCATATGATTCTGTATCAATTGTAATTCCTTAGATATTGAAGCAGCTTTAATAACTTAAATTCTAGCTTCCCTAAGCCTGCCTATATGAGTCAAATCAGAAGCATGATAGAATACTCTCCACTTGTGTGGATGAGCTTGAGTGGCACCTCATTCACCACCTTAAATATCTACTTTGATTTCCTCCCAAAGTCCAAAGATGTGCAGTTTAGGTGGATTGGCCAAAATTGCCCTGTAGTGTTCAGGGATGTGCAGTCTAGGTGGTCAGCCACGGGAGAAGTGCGGTCACAGGGTCTGGATGCATCACTTTTTGGAGGGTTGGTGCTCAGTCGATGGACCAGTGGTCTCTTTGTGCACTTCAGGGATTCTATAATAATCACTAAGGCCCCTTTGACAGTATTTTCCAAATCCTTAATCTCTAACATTTTTAAGAACAAGGGCAGCAGGTGCAAAGGAACACCACCATCTGCAATATCCCTTCCGATCTCTCACAATTCTAACTTGGAGCTTAGCTGTTCCTTTATCACGACTTGGTCAAAATCCTCAAACTCTTGACTTGTATGTTACCATAAAGACTTCAGTGGCTCGAGGAGGCAGCACTTTACCACTTTGTGAAGGCCAATCTGGTAAAGGCAATAAATGCTGGCCTTGCCAGTAACATCATATTTATTGGACAAATATTAAGAAAAAGCTTGCATGTATATAATGCCTTCAAAGTAATAAATCATTCAGGAGTGCAGGAGTATTATGGGACAAAATTTGACTGAGCCACAAAAATAGCTATGAAATCAGAGAATGAAAAATTTGGTGAAACAGGTAGGTTCTAAGAAGCATTTTAAAAGAGGAACGTGAGGAGCAAAAGATATAGAATGTGGATTTCAGAGTTTAGGGTGGATGAAGGCATGGCTGCCATGAAAGGAGGGATGAAATTGGGAATGTGAAACAGCCCAAAATTGGTGAACACAGATCTATTGGAGTTGTAGTTCTGGAGGAGATTACAAAGCTAAAGGGAGGCAAAGTCATGAAAATATTTGAAAATAAGGCTGAGAATCTTAACATCAAGGCATTGCTTGACAAGGGGCCAATGTAGGTCAGCAAACACAGGGGAGATAGGTGAGCAAGAGTCAATGTGAATTAAGACAGTTAAAAGTTTTGAATGCCTTCCAAGTTTGCAAAGAATGTGGAGGTCAGTCAGTGGAATGATTAACGTAAAGATACGTTAAAGATTTCAATAACAGATAAGCTGAATAAGGATGAGCAGTAAATGCTGACTTTGTTGATAATGACGTACCAAGAATTAATATTTAAGAAAATGACAAACAAAAATACACGATCTCATTATTAGGTAAAACAGGCTTCAGGGGCTGATTGGTATACTCCTGTTCCTATGTTCCTAAAAGGAAATTTTCTGACCAGCTGTGAATAGTTTGAAATATGTAATATTGTTCTCACATTATAAATTCACTTATTCAAAATGATTATTTCCTTTTAAAAATCACAATTTTTGGCTCTTTTAATGCTGAAGTCAATTAACTAGTATGTGATGAAACTATTCAGTCATAAGATTCAGGTTTGGTTGTCACTGTGTTGAATTAGTTAATTACAGACATTAGGAGCATTATATGTGATGAGTGCCTCTTGTTGGGACTATCATTTTTTTTTGTTTGTTTTCATTTTTGATGTGGAACTGAGAGTTGCAGTTAAGTATTGAACTTTGAACTGTGAACAGCAGTTTGTTTTTTCTTAAAAAAAGTAGAGAACAAAGGACTTATGTTTGCTGTTGGGAACGGGCCTGGAAAGATAATGCAGTTTATGTACTGCTCTAACAATATTTTAGATGATTCGGTACCAAAATGTTGCAATGCTCGGGGAATGGAAGTTGGTTGAATGTTAAATTAGTCAATCAAGTGAGAACTGGTGCTGGCCAGCCAACCACAGACAAAGCTGAAAAAGAAAGAGAAACCAAAGGGTGAACTGGTTTGGGCTCGGTTTTTTGGGAAACAGGCAGTGTTGCTATGGAAGCTGCTGGACTGGGTTTCTGATTTTGATCTCTCGAGTTGAAAATCCTGAGAAAAGAAACTCCAGTCTATAAGGAATAAGGAAATGTCTCCAGGGGTCAGCAGAAGCCGTTTGCATTGACTAGTGACTTTGGAATTCAAGCAAGATATGATCCTACATACCTGTAATACAACCTATCGAATTTCATGAAGGCTTGATATTTAACATTGAAATGGTTACTGAACTGGGAACTTATGATTCTTCTGTTTTTTAAATTGTGTCCCTTAAATGTCTGTGTCTGTCTGTCTGTTGGTGATGGGGGGGTTGCATTCAATGAAGATTGGGCTTAGATATTAATTAGATTGCCCGTGTTCATCGGTGTTCTGCTAAAGTCATAGTTTATAATCCATTATTAATAATGTAAGTTATAAACTTGGTATCCAAGGTCAGTTTTTTTGTCGAGTCTGGTTAGGAACAATTTAGCAATTTTGAGGGTTTACAAAGGTTTCAATTTCACATGTTGTGAATCCAGTGATAGCAAGGCTGATTTGGTTTGGCTTGCTATCCCTGTGTTTACACCCAAGATTGGGTGAGTATAACATTGGTAATGAACATTGACTCAGGATAGGATGGGCTTTTGATACTCTCAGTAAAACACTGCGCAAACACTCTCTGTCAAGATGCACACAAAGAATGCATCACTGTGAAAAGTTGAGGACAATGTTGGGTGCCCAAGCAGCCCCAGCTCAATAAAAAGTGATGCTCACTTTCCTGTTGAAGGTATAAGATATCAGTAGATAGAACAGGAATGAAACCATATGTATATTAATCAGCCAAAAAATTAAAATCCTTTATTATTAAATACCAACCTGGCCTGGTACTCTGTGGCTGGTTTTAGGTCCTTTAATGTGACATTCACGTCTTTTCCTCTTCAAATTTAAAAAAAAGAAATTTAAGCAATTAAATAATTCAATGGTCTATCAAATTCCAAATTAAATACAAGCATTTACTGTGGGAAGTTAAAATATCAACTTAAATGATATTTAGCAAGACTGAAAAATTAATCTACAGTGACAAAAATATAGGAAATTACTTACTGACAATTCGCAGACATTATTCGCATGTGTCTTACATAATTTTCACCCTTACTTTTCAGCACATTTACAGGCAACACCTATTTTCATGCAACTGCACTAGCTAGCTTGGTTTAAAACAATTTCTTAATACATTGAAGTGATAATTATAAACCATATTGTGACATTTATCAAAGACACTGTTTCAGTTAGCACTGAATGCTGCACTTACTTGTGTCAGGTTTTTTGGCAGTAGTTCACAGAGACTACACTGTTGCATGCTAAAGGCTCCCAGCACTATCTACACCCTGTACTGACAGATGGTATTTTTGGGGCAGGGGCTGGAGGAACAGGAAGGAAACCTGCAGTATTGCAGCATCAAATTGGATGCAAAAACTTTAAATGGGCAAAGCAGTCATTTTGTGTTCAGCTCAAAGCAATAGCTAAGACTGCTGGCTCTTCTTGACACCTGAAGTCTAGAATCAACAGCTGAGGACTACATGGATGACAACTAACAAAGTATCACCCATACTTTGGTCTTGAAGAAAAGAAGGCTCATAACAATCATCACTGGCTGAATTTGTACAGTCTAAATTAGGGTGTTAGAGGTTATGGAGAGACACACCACCAAATCAATGAGCTGATGTAGATGCTAAAGGTCAGTTATGATGACAAGACAGTTGCCAGAGGTCTTATTAAGGTTAAAATGCCCCTTATGAACTGCTTATGTAAACAGCAATCAATGGGTTCTCCTGTGAAATCTTTTCCTGAAGCTGAGCCTTTCAATGCTGATTTACCCTTCCATCCTCATTTCCTCCTCCATCTACTGGGTTTTCCCTAATGGAGAACCATTATGTTCCGAGCTTCATATCTGAAACTTCAAACATATTCTGAATGCCAGCAGTAACATAAAACATGTTATGTAGATGCAGATAAAAAAAAACGTACAAATAAAAAATCTTTGGACAAAAGCATTTAAACAGAGAAGGACAGAAAAATATTTATTTGCATTATTCTAATTGACTTTCTAAATTACGTTAAACACGTTTTGAAAGCAAATGAAATCTTCAGCAGAAGTAGACAGAAAAGAAGGATAAGATGGGGAGGGAAAAGTGCAAAACTGGTTGAAACTGAAGGGTTTCTGGGTTTATTCCCAGTTGTCCTTGGAATGACGTTGCTAAGTTTGGATGGAAAGTTAAGGTTAGGCAAGTGACAGTACCAAACAGAAACAGAGAATATAGAAGCAACAGAGATAAAGGCAGTCAACAACAGAGGGAACAATAACTCCCAATTTCCATTGTGTAATGCAATGGCAGATTACTTAGTAATAGATTTAAAATAAAGTAGGCCCTTCTTAAGAAGGGTCAATAGACCCAAAAAAGGTAACACTGCTTTCTCTCCATAGATGCTGCCAGATTTGCGGAGTTCCTCCAGCATTGTTTTTGTTTCAGATTTCCATTACCGCAGTTTGTTGGCTTTTGTTTGTTTAGGTGATGTTGTATACATTTAACTAATATTTTTATTTAATTATCACGATTATTCAGTTTCAGCTTGTGTACATTAAATTATATAATGGATTATCAAGTATCAGAGATAAATCTACCTACTAATTTAGCTTTAACTTAAAAACACTAGCCAAAACCCAACTTATTTTCAAAACAAATAAAAAAATTGCAATGATTTTCATTACTAATACAACTCCACAACTGCACAACTGGAGCTTCCAGTTTGCTTTTTCAAATAACCAGTGGTCAGAAAATCTATCATTTTGTCTAATTAACAGGGAACAGAGAATTCTTAGAAAGGATGTCAGAACAGTCTTCTCAATCATCCAGCAATGAACTTATAAAAACTTACAAAACCATCTATTCAAGATAAAACTAATTTAATGATGCACACGGTTTACAATAATTAACTTTTATATACTCTGCTTGAAATATATTATACATTTTAAAAAAGCTATTAATCATACTGTGAAAAAATTGTACATACATATAAATAACTTTGAATTTCCCATCCTTCCCACTACTAGAAATAGCAATTTCAAAGCTGCATGGTTCAGGTACAATATCGCTATCAGCATCATCATTATTTGTGGCTGAAGGAGGACACCATGTGAGTACAACTGTTCTTGCCTGGATGTCGGATACCTATGAAAAACAACACTGGAATAAAGTAAATAGGATATAGGACAAGCAAGGCATGTTGCAGACTCAACAAAGAGACACTTGTCATAACCTGTTCAAACCTCTGAAAAGTGGCAAATGCAGTAGACTGCTGTAAGTTTTGGGAGGTATTAGGTTGCTAAGCTTATTTCAGGAATTTTCCTCCCTGAAGTCCAGATTAGGCAGAGTGTATTGGACATGCCTTCATCTAATGAGAAAAGCATACATCTAAATTTAGTGGGTTTGGGCTCCTATTCTCAGGTAGGCCCTTGCTAAGTACCGGAGTTGAAAATGCAGGCAATGTTGCAGGTGATGTCTTTGAGGTTTTAATGCTGCCATTAGCGATCCGCTGAATGCTCCAAGGCCAAAACGTTCAGTATGCCCTGAGAAAGAACATTCAAACCTACCTTTTGGGTTTTTGTCACATTTTTACCAGATTCCCTCAGACCTGAAGGGAATCCTGACACAATGCTCATTGTCTAAAAACAGAGGCAAGAGGAGAATGCGTGCCCACCAGCTCCATTTTCACTTTGATGCTGATGCTAAATCAGAGGTATTGTGAATGGTGCTTATCATTATGCACTCAGCAGCAAACATCCCCACTTCTTACTTTATGATGGAGGGAAGGTCACTGCTGAAGATCTGAAAGATGGTTGAGGACATTAGTCCAAACAACCCCTGCAGAAATGTCCTGGAACTGAAATGGCTGACCTCCAACAATCACAACCATCTTTCAATGTGCCATGTTGCAATAAAGGCAGATCTGTACACCAAGTCTCAGCAAATATAAATATGTGAAATAGGAAAAATCTTTGTAACCACCATTTACTTTATTCAAATTACATCTTTACTGCAACATTAATGTGTTTTCAGGTAATCTCAAAATCAGTAAAAAATCTTGAAAAATTCACTTTCCTTGACAGCTTGCAAAACATGTTTCATGGTACAAAGGGCAAAAACACGTCTTGCAAATTTTATTTCAAAAACTTTGCAAAATCATAGATGTTTTATGAATTGTACAGAATTTATGAAATGATTTTTTTTCCAGAACTTGGTACCTTATTTACAAATGCATATAAAAAGGTCACTTACCACAGGTTTGCCAACACTTGACAGGTATGCTTCAAAAGCTTTGGTGTCTGGATCTTCCTCTATAAAACCAAAAAATCATGTTGTCAAACTTCACATTTCTCATTAGCATCATCACTGTTTTCTATTATTATTGAAACACTACCAAACTTAGAATCAATACATAAAAACTGAATGGTCACAAGGAACAAAGGGTCCTGATGTACTATATTTAAAGTAAAGAATGGACCTGAAGAAGCAATACATAAGCACTGAAGTTGTGAATATACTGTCTAAGGTTGTACTCCTAAGTTAATCAACAATAGCAAACCTAGATCTATCTGACATTCTATTATGGTGAGCAAATTAATCAGTCTTTTGATTAAAGGCTAGATTATATTATTTTCTTTTTTATAGACCATTAGATTCTGAATCTTACTGGAGAAAGTTTCCTTACTTCGTTTGTAGCTCACCCAAGTGGTTCTTCTTGGCATGGAGTGGATATACCACAAATTCACGAGAATAATATTAGATTTGAATTATTAGGGCAGACTGTAACTTGGTATACATCCCGTGAGTTTAGAAGGATTTAATCTGATATAATTTAGGTCTTTAAAATTATAGCGATTCTGTAAGATTGATATAAAGATATTATTTTCTCCAGTTGGGAAATCCAGAATAAAGGATCACAATCTTAATATTAGATCTAGGCTATTCAAAAGTGAAATCAGGAAGTAGCTTTCACACATAAAATTAAAGAATCTATATAGAGATCTCTCACTCTCAAAAGCTGTGCATGGTCAACTGCAATTTAAGATTGAAATTAACACACATTTGTCAGATATTGATTATACTGTTGAATCATATGGTGTAGTGGCAACATCCACTGGACCATTATTGCAGAACACCAAGTTAACTCAATAAAATGGCATCAGAAATCTGGCCTTATGGTGCCAATTTAACTATTGCTAATTGTAGTTTCAAACAAAAAAATTTGGTTCACTAGTATCCTCTAAGGAATGAAATGTGTCCTCCAGATTAACCATCATCTGGTTAAATGATCTCTCGGGACTGAAGGCCTACTCCTGTTCCATTCTGTTCCAAGTATAAACATAACTTCTCATATTAATTCCGCAGCCTTCATATAGAAAATACCCTGCATTTCAATTGATAATTGACCAAAGAAACATTATTCAAGTCAGTGGCCTTTGCAGAAACTCTACTGTGTAAAACAACACTGGACAGATTGTTCACTCAAGAACACTGTCGTTGAAGAGTAAAATGTTCTAACAACAGTAAGACACCTCAGCTTTAGCACCCATTTACTGTTCTTTAACTGCTACCTGCAGAAAAATGCACACTGCCAACCTTTGATGCAATGAAATGAATTTGTCTGCAAGAATAATTTGTGAACAATGGCAGTGCACAATGCTTCAAACGCTAGAGGGTGGGACAATTCAAAGCTTAATTTTGTGTGATTTATGATATTCCTGACACCAAGGAAGTTTACGACAGCATGGGTAATGAAGACCAAGAAATGAAATTGCATTATAGTTGGACTGTGTATAGCTGAACCTCTGGGACAATCAAATAATATTTGTGGATGCATGATACTGTTACAGAATACATTTGATTCATGTTACCTGAATTTAGCTATTTAACACATGTAATATTGCAAATAGAGATTTCAGTCATTTAATCCACGCACACATCTTCCTACAATCTCCCTGCTTTATTGAGGGTGAAGGAAAAAGGAAAGTATTGTCTGTGAGACGAGTGTGAAAGGGCTGTTTATTCATCATCATCATCATTATTATAGTTTTATACAAATAACTTGACTAGCATTATAATTGCATTAATGCTAGGCAAAACTGCAGCTGGAATGGTTAGGTTGAAAACAGGGTGATAAGCGCAGTGTTCCAAACTGAAAATTGCTCACACTTCATTCTTGTCCGACTAACCAAGCTAAAATCACCTTCATCTTAAATGAAATACTTAAGTGCTAAGATAGGTGCACATTCATTGAATCAGACGGAGATTTTATTTTGGGTGCCAGGAGACCCCCACGCTATTACCAACCTTGCGTATAAAGATCCAGTTTACATCGGACATCTGCTAAAATAACAAACTTCCTTCATTTAAAGTCAGTTTTGAGGGTCCTAAGTAATTTTACTGACTTGGCTAGCAACCTAACACAGTACCACGTAACATACACTCTCACCTTTAGTGGACTGTGATTTCTTCATCAACTGTATTTTGGAATATAACTTCTAGGTCTTCAGCATATAAAGAGGGCAGCATAGTCCACATCCCTTCTTTATGAACAAGTAGCTTGGTTTTAGTCACAACGTCCCCTTCAGTGCCAAGCTGACTCTTCCTAAGAGTTACCACATTAGCAGCTGCACATTCTCCAGCCAAATGTGCCAAACACCCAGTTGTAACCAAAAGACTTTTGGGTACAAAGTAGTCTACTCAAATTATGGGGAAATTCGAAGGAGTGAGAAAGGCTCAGAGGAATTCTTTCCTCTCTCTGAGATTGCTGGCATTAAACTGCTGTGGCTATGCTGAGACCACATGCTAAAGTTGAATTTCACTACTCTCTGATTCCTAGAAGTTAAATCTTCTCAAAAGAACTATTCTAGCAATTGCTTTGTATACTTTCTCAACACTATCTCAGGTGAAACATTCCTGACCATAACTCAAGCGTTTCTCCTTGCTTTTAAAGAACATGTTTAAAAAGTTTGGATATAGGTTAGAAGATAGATGTTGATCAAGAATTTACAGAGCATCTTGCATGCAGGAAAATAATTCAAAGCTTTATCGAAGATATTGGGAATACTGGAAATGCAGCTTAATTAAGTTCAGTCCAGCCCAGCTTAACATCCTAACAATACTCCTTTCAAGACTCTGTCATATACATTTTCACTCATATTTGCTATGAGCATCATGCTCTTTGTGCATTTTATTAGTAATTTACTATTTATTTATTGTTAAAATTTTTTAAAGAATACTCTCAGGAAGTTACCTAATTATTACCTGAAATTTAGTTTAACTGCATATTCAGACAGGAGTAGGTTATTCAGCCCTTGGAACATTTTTTATTACTTGGAAAGAACTGCCATTCACATATAATGTACTGATTTCAGGTGCGCTTTGTGTTTTCCTATCATGTATATTTTTCACCAATCTTGTGGATGCCCCCACAGTACCTTCATTTTCTTCACTGGTGGGAGACTTATGGGGAGAGGATGGTGGGCTGTTCATCTTATCTTTCGATCCATTAGCTTGTCGATCTTTCAGTTTCTTTTGTAAACGCTCATAAGCTTTGCTAGTCCTTTCATCTCTGTGGATAAAGTTGGACCTCCCATGAGAGGGATGAGATTCTGAAATGCAATAAAGTATAGACAGATTAAATTCCTTTTAAAATAATGTTGATACAAATATGTAGGATAAGATTTACTTCAACATATAATAACTGATCTCCCGCAGTATCACTGCACAATCCCAGTGGATCAGAACAAAGCTCAGCAATCCTGTCAGATCCAGTCATGGACAATGGACAAGTAAACAATTAATCAGAGGAAGTGCCTCCAAAGCACTGACATCTTTAAAGAAGTGAAGTTCAGCATGCCAGTGCAAAAGACCAGGCTGAAGCAGTAGCAACTATTTTCAGCCAGGAAAGCCAATGGCTGACCAATCTCAACCTCCTTTTGAGGTTTTCACTATCACGGATGCCAATTCCATTTTCTCTGTATTCTAATAGGAAAAGGCAGAAACACACTAGCTACATCTAAAATGATGGGCCATACACTATCACCACTATGTTGCTGAAAATATGCAGCAAAATCTAGCTGCACTCCTAACCAAGCTGCTCCAATACATCTACAATACTGGCACCTACATGATGTAGAGAATTGTCCAAGTATGTTCTGTCCATAAATTATGACAATTCTAATCCGGCCAATTACCCCATTAGCCTACACTTAATCATTGAATTGATAGAATTACTTAGTAATAACATGCTCATATTGGTTTCCAGCAGGGCCAGATCTTCCTGGATCCTTGGTTCAGACGTGAACAAAATAATGAAGTTCAAGAGGTGAGGTGAGAGTGATTGCAGTTGACATCAAAAGTAATATTTGATCACTATAGCATTAAAGAGACCTAGCAAAACTGGAGTCAATGGGAAACTCTCTCCTTTGGCTGGAAACATACCTAGCACAAAGGATAATGATTATGGTTACTGGGGGTCAGTTGACTTAATCCCAAGACATCGTTGAAGGAATGAAAACAAAGTGCTGGAAAAACTCAACAGGTCTAGTAAGACCTTTGGAAACAGAAACAGAGTTAACATTGCAAGTCTAGTATGACTCTTCAGATGCTATTAGCAGGCCAAGGATAGAAATGTTTGCAATGGGAGCAAGGTGGCTTATTGAAATGGCAAGCAACTGGAAGGTCTGGGTAATATGGACAGAGTATAAATCTTCCACAAAGTGGTCACTCAGTCTGCATTTGGTCTTGCCAGTGGAAAGGACATCTAAAGAAATACAAGTAAAACAATGCTACATTTGGAAGTTGCACTTGGGGCCTTGGAAGTGAGGATGGAGGAGGCGAATGCACAGGTGATCCTTTGAATGTGGTGGTTAGTGTGATGGAAAGTAAGGACAAGACAAACCCTACTGTTATTTTGGAGGGAGGGAAAGGGACGATGGCAGAAGTGCGAGAGATAGGTTAGTCATGGTTGAGGCCCTGTCAACCACAGTAGGGGAATCCTTGGTAGAGGAAAGAGTACAAGATTTCAGACACCTTGGTGGAAGGTGGCCTCATCCCAACAGATGCAGAGTAACTGGGAGAATGAATGGAGTCCTTGCAGGAAACTGCATGTGAAGAAGCAGAGTTGAGGTAACTATGAGACTTGGTGGAAACAGTGAAATCAAGGAAGGAAAGGGAAGAATCAGAGATTGATCGGTGACCAAGTGAAGGTCACCGAAGAAGAATTACATTAGACTCAAAACGTTAGCTCTGTTTCTCTCTCCCCACAGATGTTGCCAAACCTCTGGAGTTCCTCCAACACTTTCTGTTTTTATTTTTGATTTCTGGCATGCATAGTACTTTGATGTTATGTATGATTGAAGGAGTTTCTCAGGATTGTATCCTCAGCCCTAACTACTTCAGTTGCCTCATCAATGTCCTTCCCTCCAACTTAAAGAACTGAGGTGGAGTTCACACCTCTTCAGAAATTGAAGTATTATCTGCTGAAATACAGCAAAAGCTGTATACCATTCAGGTTTGGACAAATAAGCAACAAGTCATTTTTGTGCTGCACAACTGCGAGGCATAGACCATCTCTAATAAGGGAGATTCTAACAACCTAGATCTGATATTCAATGGCATTATCATCACTTAACTGATCATTGCAAACAGCCTGGGGCACCTCTGACCAGAAACTGAATTGTACATGATGTACTTTATAAATACTGTGGTTTCAAGGTCAAAGGCTGAGAATTTTTCAAGTAATACACAGACTCCTTAAAGCACGCCCACCATCAAAAAGTCCGGGTAGTGATGAATATTCCTTACCGTAATTTTTTGACTTCAGCACAGAACTCTAAGGTCTGTGCACATCAGTGACTTCTGGAACCAGAAGTCAATCTGCTAATCGTATCAGCAAGCTCACCATTACACACAGACCGTAGAAGTGGCTGTGCACGCAGCTTAGAAAGAACGTAGATCAAGGGTTGCAGACAGAAAGAAGGAATATGGTGTTGAGATACAGGATTAGCCATGGTCACATTGAATGCAGAGCAGCTCGAAGAATGGAGTGACTCACTCCCACTCCTAGTTTCTATGTTTCTTTTAATCCCCACCAGAGGCTGCAGTAACTGTGGCCTTTGGCTCAGGCCCTGCTGGCGGGGCTCTAGGTGTTATCTTTGTGCCGTTGTAGTGGGAACAGCAGTGCCATCAGCAGCTGCTGGTGTAGCTTTGGCGGCCTTCAAGGTGGGGCAATTCCTTCATGCCCTAACTCCTTACACGGGCAACACCACATGCCATCTGCCATGAGAAGGTGCAGCAGGCCACGCCCTCGTCCTTCAGTCACCACCTCAGGGGTCAAGCTAACGAAAACTTGGGGCCAAATGGAGTAGACATGTTTTAGGCTCAGGACCCTCAGTCCGAGCAGGATGGGTGCAATCCCTGACTGCAACTCCCCCAACAGCTGTAAATGGGGGAGGAGAATCTCACTGGCACAGGGCGGGACATTGGAGATCATGACCTTTTGTATCATAACCCCCAGAGGGTCAACTGGTAAATAGATCCCGCCCACAGTGAGACCCTTCTCCAGGGCCAAGTGCACCGCCCGCTCAGACCAAACGAAATATCTCCTTCCTGTACATCTTGGAGGCCTTGACAATGGCTAGTGGGCCGACGGCAGTGGCCAACGCGTTTGAGCAGGCCCCTACTGTCATGTCTGGGTAAGGATGTATTTTAATTCCCAGGCCCTTGGTCACATGCTTGAATGACAATGGGGTCACAGTTGGGCCAAAGCAGCAGTAACAGCTGCGGTGGCATAGAAACAGTTTGGCCCCGCCACAGGCAACTGCAGTGTCCATATGGATGTGAATAGAAGAAGCATGGTTAATAACTTTGCATATGACACCAAAAATGCTGCTTTAGTGGGCAGTGAAGAAGGTTCTCTCAGAGTACAACAAGATCTTGGTCAGATGGGCCAATGGGCCGAGGAGTGGCAGGTGGAGTTTGATTTAGATAAATGTGAGGTGCTGCATTTTGGTAAGGCAAACCAGGGCAGGACTTATACAGTTAATGTTAAGGCCCTGGGGAGTGTTGCTGAACAAAGAAACCTAGGGGTGCAATTGCATTGGCCCTTGAAAGCAGAGTCCAAGGTAGACAGGGTGGCATTTAGCATGCTTGCCCTCATTGGTCAGTGCACTGAGTACAGGAGTTGAGACGTCGCGTTGCAGATGTACAGGACATTGGTGAGGTCACTTTTGGAATACTGCATTCAATTCTGGTCTCCCTGCAATAGGAAAGATGTTGTGAAATTTGAAAGGGTTCAGAAAAGAGTTACAAGGATGTTGCAAGGTTTATAAAATCATGAGGGACATGGATAGGATGAATAGCCAAGGTCTATTCGTACAGGAGTCCAAAACCAGAGGGCACAGGTTTAAAGGTGAAAGGGGAAAGATTTAAAAGGGACCCGAGGGGCAACTTCTCCATGCAGAGGGTGGTACGTGTATGGAGGCATGTACAATTACAACATTTAAAAGGGATCTGGATGGCTACATGAATAGGAAGGGTTTAAGAGGGATATTGGCCAAATGCGACCGATCAGTTTAAGACAACTAGTTGACACAAACGAGTTGGACCAAAGGGTCTGTTTCCATGCTGTATAACTCTATGACCGTGTGTGCGTGCCTGTGTGCGCAGAATGTACCCACAAGAGAAGGAATTCTTTTTAAAATCAACCTCGCTGCAGCCAACCAGGGGGTTGGGATAATAAATAAAGTGAACCAAGTGAACCAGTTCATCCCTTTTAAAATGGGAGCATAACAGTTCAGGGTATCCACCTGGAATTATAATGAATTACAGAAACCTGCCATGAACAAGTAATGTACCCAAAAAAGTTTGGTATGGGCAGTTGAAGTGAAAACTAATTGAACTGAATTCTAAATTAGAGCAAAAACGCACCCACGATGAAAACTAGATACTTGAAACTGAACTGGGAGCTTTGTGGACACAGGGACAAGTATTCAAAAGGGAATTGGTTGGACACATGACAAGGGGAAACATTTCAGAGGCATGGAGGAAAAGCAAGGGAATGAAACAAACTAGACAATTCATTAAAAGGGACATTGACATCATGAGACAAATGGTCTGTTTCTGTGCTATATAATAGTTTGATTTTAGGAAATGGTTAAGGCGCAAATGCATGTTTGAAATTAAATTGATGTTAAATATTAACACTTCAAGTGAATATGAATCATTGTAGTTAACAGAAGCAAAAAAACAAATAATTTATTTGTTTACTCTTCTGACTTATCACTTATGGAGCCAGCCTCTCTCTCTCTGGTGAGCATTGTCAGCCCAGCACGACTTCCTTCATACCAACATACTCTACACGCTTGAGTACTTCTTCATGCTTTACAGGCTTCAGGTTGCCAACACAACTCAAAACATTTAGGCATAGTTCCTAAATACTCAGCTGATTAACTGTTGTAAAAACAAGGTTTCTCAGTTTTATCCCATTCCTTTGCTGTGCAATGCCAATTCCCATTTGTTTGAAATTTTAGCTTATACAGAGAGCTTCACTCCAAAATTCTATTTTGGCTTTTACAATGGAACCTTAATCAGCAATGCCAGATACAAAATTCTGTGACTAGTAGCATCTGATGTTGAACTGGATATTGTGACATTGTAAGTTAAAGACAAATATTTGCAGTACAGCGTAACACTCAGTTTCTGCTTAACCTGTTTAAGACTAGTCTTCTTTAGTCAGAAAGATACAGGTTTTCTTTCATTCTATAAAATGCTGATATAAAAATATTTTTTTCTGTCAAAATAGGCCAGATTATTTAACTCATTTTATTTCCCCCAATAAAGACAGTGAAAAAAACAAAATTAAACATATGACTATCAAAAGCGTATTCTTGTTGACTTACTAGCATTTCAAGATTTATGTTGGTAGGGTGTTAGCAGCAAATTTTCTGCACAGCTGGTGAATGAGAAGATATAAAGAGGTTTAAAATTCATAGCTCTTACCTTGCTCTGCATATGAATGCTGAGGATGATGCTGTGCAACATATGGTGCTGCAGCATCTCCTGGTCCCGTAGAGTACATTTGATGATGTGGTAGGACAGGTGGAGGAAGAAATGGAGGCATATAAGGATGAGGATGTATTGGTGGATGACTGCCAGGATGAAATTCTGGCTGTTGAGGTAACACCAGCACCCTTCGAACGCCATTTTCTTCAATGACCTACACAGCTCAGAAACAGAATTACATTTGAGTATAATAACCAGGTTTAAACCTCATAGTTGAAGTACAAGCCGTTTTTTTTTCATTCAACTTTCCACCATGACCTCTAACGTACACAAATAAGAAATTAATTATCCAAAACTTTGCCTAGTAAACATAATACTCAATATAATTCTTATTTAGATATAAATTCTCAACTCAAATCTGTATTATTACTACAGAAAGAGCACCACAGTGAAGCTCCTGGGGCTAACCGTCTCATTCACAACAGCATAACTGAATAAAACACCAATCAGGCTCAAGCATCTGCAGAGATTTTAACATCCTGTCGTTGTGGAATTCAATTGCTTAAACGGAGGGATTGCACTGAATGCCTCCTCTAATTTATTTAGCATTGTAATTTACTCCACACATTCACCATTCTCTTATCAGTTAACAGTCTTTTACTAATTTTATCCTGTCTCCCTAGTTCTACTTGCTTTAGTTTAAGCGATATTATTCAAACTGTATCATGTTTGTCTTATATTCCACAGCTAGATTATGAGACAGCTTTTATCCCCCAAGCTATCCAGTGTTTTCTGTAACAATTATCAAAAAATTGAGGTAAAGCCTTGCAACTCATTTCTGCATTGTCTCTGTACTTGGATGTCTTTCTTGTGTAAGGCAGATTCTGACAGGTATTAATTTGCAGTTAGACGACAGCATTGTACATTGATGTAACAAGGTGTAGAGCTGGATGAACACAGCAGGCCAAGCAGCATCAGAGGAGCAAGAAGGCTGACGTTTCGGGCCTAGACCCTTCTTCAGAAAAAATGTACAAGGCATTGTACGTTTACTTTATTCTCCTGTTTACGTGATGAAGTTCATCATATTAGCTTTATTGACTACTACTTTCCATTGGGGTATTTAGTTACAAGTCTAAGACTCCCAGGACTTGCCTTGAACATCCCAAAATTGAATCGAATTAGTACCCATTTGTCGAGAACTTTACTGAAACCTGTTCGAAAGTTCAGTATACTACTTTGTAGTATAAGCCAATACACACACAGAAGTTCTATAAGCTAAGCATTATTGCATGAACATTTTTTAAAATGTAAATTACTTCCATTTATTTACTCCCTATTCAGGAATGTAAACTGGCTGTGGTGAAGTTGTGCTTGCTAGGTTTGTCTCATTGTGGGACGGGCAAAGAAGAAATTGGCATCCTGATTGAAGAACTGCATTGTGGGTACAAGAACAGGAAGGTAGGATGCAAAGATCCACAGATTTTTGCCAGAAGTCTCCAAAACAATTTCAGAAACTGTACTCCATTGTTTCTGTAACCATAAAGGAAATGTTAAGGGGGCTGCAGGTAACATCAGCTTTATTGTCAGATTTCTTCAAGCATAATCTTGAAGACAGGTCAGAGAGTATATATCTGGGGGTGTCTTTGAACAGTGATGTAACTGAAACCCAATTAAATGGGTCAAATCCAGATACATCAAACTTTGTTTTATCTGATATCCTTGATATCTGTCAAAAATTATATACCCAAAATACTAGAAGCTTACTGCATTATCGGATCTCCATAATGTCCGAGTAGTCAGTTAAGGGTGCAAGTCTAAAGGCTCTCTGTTGGTAAGTTTTATTTACAGCAAAGTTGCATTATTATTTAATTAATTTATGCTAACAATGAAGTATAACAGTGATGTGTATACGCCCCTGCATTATATTCCTATTACTTAGTGTGTGATTTTACATTGATTATGTGGTCATTTTGATCAACTGGAATATTTTATAACTGGCACACGCCTAGTTCCATAGGTATTAGTTAATAAAAAGTTTGCTGTATGACTTTAAACGGAGAATGGGTACTAAAAACGCAGTTTGTAAACAACTTGCTGCTCGAGTAGTTGCAGCAGTTTGGACATTGCTTACAAATTTCACCTGGAGATCTGTGATTGATTGACTATCTGAGACAGACCTAAGTTCATGGGGCTTCTCAGGAACGGTGTTGTTGTGACTGAATAATAAAGGTGTACCACATTAAATGGAACTGCATCCAAATTGTTGTGTTTCACTGATGTCTGGGCCAGAACCTAGACCCCAAAATGGGTTTACAGCACAGTCTACTTACAGTCTTAGAGTTATACAGAATGGAAACAGGCCCTTCGACCCAAACTGGTCCATGCTGACCATGGTGCCCACTTAGCTGGTTCCAACTGCCCACATTTGGTCCATATCCTTCTAAACCCTTCCCATCCATGTACCTATCCAAATTTTTTTTACATGTTGCTATTGTACCTGCCTCAACCACTTTCTCTGGTAGCCTATTCCATATACATACCACTCCGTGTGAAGAAGTTGCCCATCAGGTCCTTCTTAAATCTCTCCCCTCTCACCTTAAACCTAAGCCCTCTAGCTTTCAATTCCCCATTACTGGAAAAAAGACTATATGCAATCATTCTATCTATGCCCCTCATGATTTTATTCATGACAATAAGGTCACCCCCCATTCTCGTACATTCCAAGGAATAAAGTCCTATCCTGGCCAACCTCTCCTTATAACTCAGGCCTACTGGTCCTGGCAACATCCTCATAAATCTTCATTGCACACCTTCCAGTTTAACTATGTCTTTCCTATAACAGGGTGACCAAAACTGTACACAATACTCCAAGTGCGGCCTCATCAATGACTTATACAACTGTAACATCCCAACTCAACATGTCAACTGATGATGGTCAGCATGTTAACTGGCTTCTTCACTACTCTGTCTACCTATGACACCGCTTTCAATGAACTATGTTATTGTACTCCTAGCTCCCTCTGTTCCACAACACTCTTCCGGACCTACCTTGTACAAGTCCTACCTTGTACAAGTCCTACCTTGTACAAG